CATTATTAAATTTATCTTTTATCAATAAGTTCACCTTTCATATTACGTACTCGTTCCTTTCTTCTTCTTGTTATTATGAAAGATTCCAGAGATTTGAGATTCGAAAAATTTGAGAGACTCTAAAAACCTTTCAAGATTCGGATTCGAGAAAATTCAGATTTAATTTCACCTCTATTTGACACTTTAAAATTTCTATGGATAGATTACGTGCGATCCAAAGATCGTTTTCACACTAAAATATTACATATATATCCAAGAAATTCAGGTATCTTAGTATTTCCTGAAAGATAGCGGCTCAGAACATTCATTTCCTACAAAGCGAAAATGTTATTTTTTCTTGCATCAGAAACCTTTTTGAAATGAAAAAGGATAACGATCTAGAACTCCGACTGGAGCTGTATGCAGAATTTCATAATATTCCCAACAGCCTGGAACTTCCCTTAAAATATTTTTTCTATCGATCTGCGAAAGAACCGAAGCTTAGTTCCAAATATTTTTCATCAAATTTTTATGGGGGAAATTCGCCATTTTTTCTATTTTCGGTATTTTTGAGAAAATAAAAATGTGCAAAGCAAATAGCTACACTTTGTCAATATTTTGTTGAGTTATAACAGATTGTTAGGCAAAGTATTATATATTATCTCTTTAATTATATACATATTAATATATATTAAAAATACATATTACGTAAAAAAGACGTATTAAAATATGTATTAAAACACTTTGATATAATTGTTTGTAAATATTTATTTTCTTAATTATTTACAATTTTGCTTTATTTGCAATGGATTTTATTTAATTTTTTATTAGTGCATTTTATATAGCAATTTTATGATTATTTTATTATTATTATTTTATTACGTAATCGCCGTTAAACATACGGCAAGGGAGACGTTTAAGAAGCCTCGTGGAAGACGTTTTAAGAAAAACTGGCTTCTGTCCTCGTTACACATGGAGAAAAACACGAAAGCGCCATGCAGCTAGTCTGTTCGCCGACAGTTGAACTCCGGACTGAACTACCAAAGTTAGGTGGCTTTTACCACTCTACTGCTTTTAGGCCAAGGCAGAACCATCAAGTTTTAGTACAGATTTGTCCCCATTGACTACCGTTTTGGTTCAAATTTGAATTATTACATAAACACTTGCGTCACGAGCGATATGTAATAATCATATGACATGGATTAATTTTGAAATGATGCAGTTCAGACTGATTTACGGAGCTTAGGACGGAAAGCGGAAATAACCAAATGAAAATAGAAAGTTAAAAGAGTATTTAAAGTTAAAATTTTTGTTTACATATTATTTTATCTTACATATCCCCCAACCTTTTAAAGAGAAATAAGACTTTTTTAGAAAGAAAGCGTTAAAGCATTAGAAAATGTAGGTAAATAACTCGTGGAAAACATAAATTATGAAATTAAAAAACAATAATCATTTCTAAAGAATGCAGAGGAAAATTTTCTTCGTTTTGCTTTTTTAGAAAAATTTACAATCCAATTGGGGAAAAAAAAAAAAAAAAAAAAAAAAAAAAGTATCTGTTTTTTTTTTGGAAAACCCAATTAATTTTGATTTTTTCAGGAAATTCTTTGTTTCTTAGTATACCACAAGTCTCTTTTCCATACCCATCACTTACATTGATATAGTGGAACAAATCAGAAAAACTAACAATATTCTAATTTTCACTTTTATAATTTACTTTTTAACATTATAAGCATTGTTAATACCTTATTAAAATTTTATACAGACTGAAGGCTCCACAATTACCTAATTGATTAAAAGACTCTGGAATATTATTTCATCAATGGTATAAGAGTTGCTCGATCATCATTTGAAATAGACCACCGTTGCTTGGCAATCGGTCCTTAGAGGTAGAGATGGACTAAAACCTTTCGCTCACTGAACTGAATAAATTCTTTTTAACAATGCACCGCTCACTAACAATGACCTTGATGAATGCGCTCAGAACAGGCTTGGTTCAAGAGCAGTGTGCAAAGATGTTGGAAAAGCAGAAAGAATTGTACAAGGAGTGGAATCAACCAAACCGTTCACTCCCTGGACTGACTTCTTTCAACTACACTTTTGAGATTCCCTAAAAAACCTTTCTACATACAGCAATAATAAAATTTTGAAATTAAAAAAATTCTAAAAGTTAAAAAATAATGAAAACTAAACGCACTTTTGTTAAAGATTACATTATTTTATAACTATTATTGATATTTTGTTACTACTACAAAGCAAGATGTAAAAAAAAAAAAAATTTAGATTGGAAGGTAGATCGCAAAAAGCAAGAAATTGTCTGCTGACAATACCGGCATTTTTTTTTTTTTTTTTTTAATTTGACAAAATGATACAGAATATCGCTTAAGTTTCTTCTATTCAGTAGGATCTACAATTTGTTCTGCTGTAAAATGAGAGTTCTGCGCCAGGAAGGTAGCACTTCTTTAAACTTTATTTAACCCTTCACCTGTAACTGATTTTGGGATACAAAAGGGACCCTTATCATCATGCGTTGTTTCATTTGCAGTGCTTAAATTGCGCCGAAGCCCACTGGAGTCCGGCTCCGGAACTTCTAAATTTTTAAGATAAATTACAATTTTAGCAGGAGCGCTTCGGAGCCCTAAATAAGATGAGCTCTGGTATTTCTTTTTATAAAACTGAACCACAATTTAAAGGGAAAAAAATTTAGAATTCCTAACGTTTTAGTTTAACAATAAGCAGGCTTTGCAATATTCTGTTTCCCTAGAAATACGAACTCATGAAAACATGAGACGTTCAAGTAAAGTCCCCTCACTCACATTTCCCTTTACGAAGGGCAATAAATTTAGGGAAGTTTGTTTAGGAACGCGTAAATTTCTCGCCATGCCATCATATCTAGTGTATTGTTATCGATGCTTACAATTAGTTATCCTCGCAGGAAAGAAAAATTGTGTTCTTAAATGTGCGTTCAGTGACAGCGAGTACGATAAGAGTGAAATACTGAGATTAAACTGTTTAGCACATCCCATACATCGTCTTCCCACAGTATCCACTAATGGGGGAGGGAAAGCGTGACCAGCAACTTTACATTGATTCTTAGCTGTCAGATTCAGGTCTCATTTTACCCCTGACATACATATGCTTGATGGCTATAATTATGTCAACAGAGAGCCGCGATCAAAGAGAACGTTCTCTCTCACCAAAATTTCCCTCATTTTTTGTTTCCACCCACTCATACCCTCATTCTATTTCGCTCTGGAATTTTCATCAGTTATACTTTAAGTATACAGTACGAAGTTCGTAATCCGGACATCAAAGCCACAAACTTTACGCATGCGCGCGTTGAAAGAAATGTTTAATAAAGTAAACAAATAAATATTAAGCTTCTTTTTTTTTGTAAAATTTGATACCCTTTAGATTAATTGTATAATTTCTGCATGTTATCATACCAGATTTAAATTGATGACCTATAATCCGGAAAAACCCCTAATCCGGAATAGCCAAAGACCCGACGAGCCCGGATTACGGACTTTGTACTGTATTTAATTTTTTGGATGATAAAAGAACTCCCCCCTTAGCTTAAATTCAGCCTAAAATCAGAGCTTAAATTCAGCCCATTGGATCTCGGCTCCGGTGCTTCTTAGTTTTTGTAATAAATCGTAATTCTAGCCGGAACACACCGGAGTCCTGACTAAGAAGGCTGAGGCACATTTTTTATGTAATTGAATAACAATTTCAGTCGAAATTTTCTCTCGAAAGTTTTATTTTAAAAATAAAATTACATTAAAAAATTGCTTATTAAATTTCAATTTATCTCTTTACATTTTATTTAATTACTTCAATAAACAATAATTAATTATCTAACCGTTATCAATTAAATTATAATTAAATATCTACTAATTATAATTTATATTATAATTAATTATCTGGTAATTATCAATTAAATTATAATTAATTATCTAATGATTATTTATATTATAATTAATTATTTATTTAATAATTATTGATTAAATAACAATTTATAAACATTAATTAAATAGTTATTAATTAATTTGATAATAATTAACTATTTAATTTTAAAATTATTAATGAGTTTAATAGTCATTTTACTTATTTATTTATTACTCTTGTTCCTCTTTGCTGACGGTCTTCCATAGGGCTCCGGCATTTCTAATCTTAGAAATTAAGCCCTGTTCAGTTGTAAACATCTTTCGATACTTCAGGGTTTCAGAACTTCTTTCGCAAGCATTTCAGCAACATCAGAAAATATACTCGACATTTTTAGGCGATATACTGTTACAGGGATTTTTTAAAATTAAATTTATAATGCAGATAACAAGATTTTGTGCTAAATACGCATTAACACTTAGATTCAGAATATTCCTTTTTAATCCGATGTAAAACAATCTTCATTCATGATACAGTTTTCCTACAGAATTATTTGATAATCCATTATAGAAAATTTTTATTTTACAAATTCAGTTTTTAACAAAATAGAAATAAAAAATGTGATACACCTGCTGTTTTTAATAAAAGGAACTTTGGGTACTTTTCCATTTCGCTGGTGCAAATCTCGCCAAGCAGACTTTATTGGCGATAGCATACAGTATGCACATAAAAAATGTTAACAAATGTTAGTTCTAAGAATTTTTTATTTTGAAGGCATAAATATTTTAATATGGTTTAAAATTTTTTAAAAATCCAGTAAATAAAGACAATAAATTTGTAAAAAGACATTAATTTAAAATTTACTATGCTTTCATGGTTCAACATCGTGATTCGCCAGTTCATATCACGTGACCCCAAGTGATCTTATCTCACGTAAACTACGCTACAAAAAACTAATTCTCTCAGTAATTATCTACATTAATTTCAAATTAAATCTTAATTTGGAATATAAGTTTAAATGCAAGAATTTTTTCAATTCGTACAAATAGCTTAGTCAGAAATTATGTAAAACTGCATTGCTTTACTTCGCTAGTGCATTCTCATTAGAATTGAATTTAATCCTTGATTTTGCCTTTTCTATATTTTCGCCTTCGGCTGAGCAGTATGATTGCATCCTAATTTACTTAATTACCGCGAATGGTCTTAGGACATAAAATTGAACAATCTTGTAAAACTTCTATATAATTATATGCCAGTATTTAAGAAATGGCTGCGACTTGTTTTGAAAATGAAGCGTAAAAGGTTACCAGTGAAGATATTCTGTTTGACATTAGTTGTACCATTATTGGTGGCTTTATCGTTTGGGCCGGCAAAACGGAAAAGTACCGAACTTTGATATATATCTGGAAATGTAAATGCATCTATAGTTTTCTTTTCCATAACATCGGTTTTCATTAGTTTACTAATTACAGTTACATTAATCAATGGAATATCATCATTCAATAAATGTATATGTATTAAACTTAAAAGTTTAGCAGTCTTACCTTTAAAGAGCTGAATAACTAACTATTGGAAGAAAGATGTCCATATCTTACAATATTTAGTTCACATTGAACAACTTTTTTCAAGACCTACACAGAACCCATGTTCATTAAATTCCTCAAAGCTTTTTTTTTTTATATATACCTTTTTGAAAGCTTTGCCAATCTCTCTTTCTATATCATGCCCTTTGCAAACAGTTGCTACAAAAATACAGATAAATATGTTCAATTTCTCTATTTTCACATTCACGATTCTTATTAACGGTACCTACTGAATACCATTTCAGACACTGATATGTATCTACATCATAACTCAATTTTTCTTCAAGTTGCAATTTTATGTATTCAAGAAACACATCTAAGTCATGATTATTCTCTGTGTTGAAGAAAAGACAATTAAGACTTGTGATTTTAGTGCATTAACAGGTTTCAAAAAATTTCATGAGATTTCACATGTCACTCCAAATACCTCTTATTTGAAAAAAAAAAGTCTGAACATTCAGTACAATGTCTAACATATAAAGTTGCATGTTGTTTTTATATCATTAAGCTCACTAAATATTTTTTAGCATGATTTACACTTAAAAATAACTTTATGCTTCCATATTCTTTTAACATGAAAAAAAAAAAAAAAAAAAAAACTTATCATTCACTACAAATTCTAAATTGAGAAATTTGATGACTATCAATTTCAATAAATTTCTTAGTACACACGCTACATCTGAAGATTCTTTCATGAGATTTGAAAATGTCTAATCAGATCACTTGATTTCAGGAAGAATCACAAACATATTGCACAAATTAAATTTTCGGAGATGAATCGCTTCATAAACCCTTATTTTCAACACGAGTGAATCACTTAAAACATATACTGCATTGGAAATATAGTATAAAGCTTTAAAAAATGTAATAAAAATAATGATATTTTCCTTTTCAATACATTTATTTATTTTTCAAAAAACATCTTCCTATACTATATTAAAAAACATACTTAAAATTTTTTCATAAATTTCTATCAAATTAATAGCAGTATCCATTTATTGGATATTGCTATTAATTGTATTGTATTAATTAGTAAAAAAATAATAATTTACATATTTTTTTAATTAAAACAAAATTTTCAGTACATTTCTATTAAAAAAATACAAGAAAATCAAAACAGACATAACATCAATCAAACATAGAAATTTAAATAGAACAGCTTTACTCAAAGCACTTTGTAAACTTCACAACATTTAGATTCAAAAAACATGTCACGAAATAAGCGCTTTTTCTCATGGCCCTACAGTCTCTTGCATTTTTTAAAATTTATACATAAAAATACATTTTCACCAATACATTTAATTCTATCATCAACATTTATTATTGTGCATTCAAGTCTTGTTTGCAAAGAATCATTTATAATGCCTTCCTCCCATTTAAAGAGTTTTTTAATCACTGAATTTAATTCAGATTTCATAGAGAGTTTACGAGTTCTTTAAAAAGTTCATCATTACTTGTTTCAGTTGAACAAATGTTTTTACATCTGAATTGTAGTGGTAAAATAATCTCAAAAATATATTTATATGAAGCATGAGATACATCTGGAATAATTTCATTCGAGTCTTCTTAAAATATCATAGTCTAATTTTAAATAAGTAGGTTTTAGTTTAAAGGAATGTTCATCCTGTTTAAAAACTTGCAGTAAAATACATTCACTTTGTTTGTTGAACACTATCAACTCATTATTACAAACGAGGCTGGCACTTGTATAAGCAAGATTAAATTCAAATATTTTTGCAGAAAATTCTTGCCATGTAGCAGGAGTTATAACAATACCATGTGTAGTAGGATATAACTTTTTTATACTGTTTGTTATTTTGTTCCACAAATTCAGATACATGAATGTTCATTCTGTTTTTGAATTGAATTATGCATACAAAATATCTACAACCAACAGTCCACTGTGTTATTAACTTCAAATTTTCTTTTTTCCTTTCTTGATTATGGCATGAAGATACTTGCAGGAGCAGATTTCATGTAGTTGAGAAGCCAGTCACCCTCTGGGAATTCAACGTCATCATCTTCCAATTGTCATTTTTTTTTATTTTTGATATTTTTATACTTCGAAATGTAAGATTAATTCTCGGATTTTTAACATCAGGTTGAGTAAGTATTCTATGCATCCAAAACTTATTTGTTGGTGATTTTATAACAATTAGTGAACCATTATTTAAGTACACAGTATGGAATATAAAATTTTGCCTTGAAAATATCATTCGACGTTTTGCACGTAAACTGATGGTGGGTATTTCACATTCTTGTTTAAGACAAACTTCATTATCTTGCATTGATATTTTAGCAAGTCTGTCAGGATAGTTATTCAATAAGACAAAATCATATTTTTTGCCTGTCACTGTTTCAGTGTTTTCTTTAATATTTAGAAGACAGTGTGTCCAAGATTCTGCACAAATAACAGTTCCAGAGAATTCATAATTTATTCCTTGATCAATAAATCCCAGAATTTTTCTTCATGGAATATACTGATTTCTGTTAATTTGAATATTAATATTTTTAAATTCATACTCTGATAGTTTTTCTAGCAAAATATCAGCTTCCTTTTGTAAATAAAATTCTTCATATAATTCTAAGTTTAACTATGTGTCAGTTAATGACTAATTCTCTAGTTTATTTATGTGTCCAATGACAATTCTAAATGAATTAGAAATACAAAACTTTCTTAAATAGTAGGAATTATCTAAACCGCATTAGCAAAATGATTTCTTCACTCTGATAGGATAAAAAGAAGGCTTCATTTGTTTCATTCATATGAGTAAATATTTTTAAAAACAATAGAAGAATTTTCTTTATCGCCAGAAAACTACGACAAAGTACTTAAAATTCTTAACGACAGATATGGTCGGAAAGACCTCCTTATTAATTCGCACATGCATAAACTATTAAATTTACGACCTGTCCAAAGTTCAAATGATATTCGTGCTTTGAGAGAATTATATGACACATGTAATATACAAGTTAATGTACGTTATCGTTATCGAATTTAGCGATCTTTCGATAAGAATCAAAACTGAATCATACAGAAGTTTACTGTATCCTTTATTAATGAAATGTATTCCTCACAATGTAAAATTTTATTTTGCTTGCTAGAAAGTAGTTGAGGAAAGTTTTAATGTCGAAGACCTCATGAAATTTCTAAAACGAGAAATTGTAAGTCACGAAAGAACTTCATTAAATACAATGAAACAGTTATCTTTAATTAGAAAGATTTAGGCTGAAATTTATTTTTTGGCAATCAGTCTCTAAAACAGCGAGCATTTTCTTTTTAATTTTTAAATCTGTCCTTAAAATTTCCATTTTTATATCATCTTTTTCTTTCTTATACTTCATCATTAATTCATGTTCCTCTCTTAGGAATTCATTTTTAAGTTTTAATTCTTCTAACAGAGCAGCTGTGACTACACTAGATGCTGTACAATCCCTTCTCATTTTCTTAAGAAGTTTAGATGTTGGTGTAATTCTTGAATATTTTTCAATTTCATTTTTTTATAAAGGTGAATATACTTCATGTTTTTGAGTTTTTGATACCTGTGAAGAAGATGACTTAGTAGCCTCACCTGGGGATATAACATGCAAAACTGGTTGTTGTTCTACAGGCACAATAGCCTTTTCTGTTATTTCATCAGGAGCATTTCCTGAATTATCCTATAAAATGAAATAAAAATATCACACACTGCATATAAAATTTAAGCATAGTCTAAAAATAATGCTAAACTACTGTTTGTAACACAAAAAACTGCAACATGATGTATTTTAATATAATCTATAAAAGTTTAACTTAGAGCACATAAATTTTTTAGTATATTTCAGTATACAGACTCTTTATTAACATCCTGTATGAGACTAAAATACCCTCAATTTAGTAAATTATTAAAACAAATATTAAAAATGTAAAACTCATAACTGCTTACTGATTAATTTTTTAAGAAGAAATTATTACTTTTTAACAGTAGCCAACAAACTAAATGTTTGTTCGGCTCTACTTGTATACGCACCCTAAGATCACCAAATGTGGCGATATGTCTTCTGCGCTGGTTTTTGGCGCGATTCCGTGCTGTGGGATGGTTTGGTGGATGATGCTGTTTGTATGGCAACCCTTTTGACGTTCAAACTTAACTCTTTTGCTGCAATGTTGTACGTGTTTTGAAATGGCCTATGTTGCAAAGATAGACGTAGTGGGATAGTTTCAGTCTCATATTTTAGATTGTGTGGAAAGTAAATTTAGTATTAAAAGGTACGATGTTGGAGTTCTTAACGAGTCTTTTGTTCACGGGTGTATTTATGAGGATCGAAGTGTAGTTTTGGAATTTCTGTGGTACTTTTAAAATGGAGTACGAAATACAGAGCTGCTATGAGAACTTGGATGAAAGAGCATGTTTCTGATAAGTTCTTGTGTGGATTTGCAGTCAAATGCTTGCTGGTAAAGTATGTGGCTGTCAGTGGAGTTTAAGATTTGGATCGTGGTTTTCGTGTAGTAAGTTAATTTTGGAGGAAGTTTTTATCGTTACTTTCGAAATTTTAATCGCAGAAAGACATGTGATATAGCAAAATGGTGGCACTTTTGTTCACAGATGTCGTGTGACTGGCGAAATTTTATTAATGAATGTATTATAGTAAGTGCATTTTATTTTACTGTTTTTATTTTGTAGAATGTTATGTTCATTTTTTTTTACTACGAATTTCTGTTCTTAATTTGTTTTATAAACAGTTTGTAATTTTAGTTTATTTTGTTGATTTGTGCGCAATGCCTAGATTGTGCAATTCGTAGATTTTTTTTAAGTTTAAACATGCTGTGTACATAGTATTCTTTGAAATTTATTGTTATGTTAATTTATTAAAGCAAGGTGTGTGTAATTCGTAGATTCTTTCGCTGTCTAGATTGTGCAATTCATAGATGTTTCTTTAAGTTAAAAGATATCACTGTGTACATGGATTCTTGTCAAATATTTTTGGTTAGAGACTTAACGTTTTTGCTATCTCAATTTTTTGTTTTTGTTTCAGATTTTTAGCTTAAATGTGTGTTCAAAACATGTTTCTGTTTCAAAATTATTGACAGGAGACATTTTTTTTTTATGGCAGGTTTTTGCATGTGCGAAAACTGCGTTTTTGGAGACATTTTAGGCTTAAAGCTCGAAACTTAGACAAAAAATTTAGATAGTAATATTGGACCATGGAGTTCATCGCCAAAAATGTTTGGCAAGAAATTTGGCGACTTGAGGGCACATATAAGAGTAGTTCCTTTTATCCTAATAATTTAGGACAAAATTTCATTCTACATTTTACTAATTTCAGTGTTACAGTACAAAGTCCAAAATTCATACCACAATTATTTGGACCTCCAGACAACCAACCAAATAAGTAAATAAATTTATCTTCCCTTACAAAATCCAGGAAGTACTTTCAAAAAGGAGAAAGTAAGCTATAAATGTGATTTTCCCTTAGACTAAGTGAGATTTACTTTCAAACCTCTGCTAGCTAGGAAGTTGCACTGCTGCCATTAACAATGCATTGACTGGCACTGTATTGATACTGGCCAGGATCACACCTTCAACCCTTTAGTGCTTGTGGAAGGGGAAAGACTGGCATTATGCACTTCCAGGGAAATTTTTGTGGTCCTAAATTCTGCTGCCTGGTACCTTTCTAAATTCTAAATATTTCGCCACCCCAGTTCTTTTCCTAAATTCTAAAAATTTTTCCATTTCTACTTTTTGCTGCTCATTGCTCTTCCAAACTCTAAAACTTTTTCTGCCTCTGAAATCTGCCCCCTGGTGCAGGCAAGCCAGATCTGGCCTGGCCCAGTTGGAAGGTTAGTTTTCTTCTAATAAAGAATAAGCAAAGCAGCAATGCTGTATGTCTACATCTCATCTCACCACATTTAAGCTGATCATCTAAAATCTGGAAATTTTTCATATCTGAAATTGCCAAAATCTTGACGATGCCAAATCTTGGACTTCGTACTGTAGAATAATTGCCTTAAAATTTGCTTATTATCTAGATGCTCACTAATTATCGATGTTGATGAGTTGTACCTTTAGTTATCTGATAATGTTCCTATGTTTATAATTTTGGTTCTTATATGTCTCCCATCAATAATTTTTGACAAACAGAAACTGTGACCAAGCAATGTAATTTAGTGACAATAATGGATAAGCAAAGACATCACACATACATAAAATCTTCACCTAGCTTTATGTAGCCTCATAAAGCAAGTAATCCCCAATACACCAGTTTACTTTTTCTAAAGAAGAATATAAGTTAACAACTAACAGTCACCAATCTCGTGTCAGTATGTACTATACTCCCTCTGCCATTTGTAGGGTTCTACGTGTGAGTAGCCAATCCAAATGTGGCTTATCAGTCATTTCTCTCTCACTGGGAAAGAATTTGAAACAGTTGTAAACACACTTAAGTCTTTAATCCAGAATCATCTACAATCCGGACCTCAAAGCTACAAACTTTCTGTGCATGTGTAAATACATAATGCGTTTACGCATGCGCATATGCCTTTACGCATGAGCGTAATACATTTACGAATGTGCGTTTAATGTATAACTGATGGTAAGCTAAAATTATCTAATTATCCATTTCAGTCGCGTTATTTCAGGTTGTGTTGTTCCTTAATCTTCGAATTGGATCTGGTTTATTATTTTTTGCAGACTGTTAGAGCAATTTTATAAAAGTAAGCTTGAACTTTCGATTATGTCAAATAGAATTTCTGATTCTGGAGCTGCCAAAGGATCTACAAAGTGAAAGCATGTTTCGATGTCCATTAAACAAAAAGTGAAATTGCTGTAAAAAATGAATGAAAGTTGATCTGTCAGCACTATCCTCATCTTCAGGGCAGATGTTTTTATTTTATTCGGCTTATAATTCCTTACTAAATGTACTGTTTCATCTCAATGTACTCCGATATGATTTAAATCAATTTCCTCATTATTATAAATATCATGAATATGCATAAAATAGTTTTTTGGTAGCAATTTTCTAATTTCGACTATGCGTAATGTATGCTTTACACATGAGTGCTGAAAGAAATGTTTAATAAAGTAAACAAATAAATATTAAGCTTTTTTTTTTGGAAATTTTGATACCCTTTAGATCACAATTGCTCTTTATTTCATAAATTACGATTTCATATTTTTAATTGTATAATTTCTGCATGCCATCTCACCAGATTTAAAATTGATGATCTATAATCTGGAAAAATTGATAATCCGGAATCGCCGAAGTCCCGACGAATCCGGATTAAAGACTTTTGACTGTTCTATTCATCTATACCACCAATCTCCCCACTCCCCAATTTACAGCAGAAATTGACATTTATGTTATTTCATCGCATAATGAGACTACCTCTCATGCTGACTACATCTGACTGTCCACAGTAGATTTATCCCTAACAGCCACAGTTATTCCATACTACATGGCACTACTCGATTCATCTCTGAATTAGGTATTTGTATGCACTAGGCCCATGTTTCTGTTGAAGCACAAGATCATTCACAGAACTGTTTAGAACCCTACATACAGATGTAGGTATGTAAACAGAGCTGGGACAAGGGGTGAGGCACTTGTGTCAAGTAAACAACCAGAAGGGATACTAAATTAGCAAGAATAATTTAGGAATTCATTTAAAAAAAAAAATCATTGTTGCAAAATTCCTATAGGGCTCTACCTTACCCTTTTCTTCAAGTTGTAATTAGAATTTTGAGTTGTAGCTAGATGTATAGAATGCTTGTAAGGGATTTGCCAGCCCTAATAGTTAATGGGAAGAAAGCTCTATTTAAGTAACATTAACCTGTACATAAATTAATTGTTATTGTGTTTCTTTTTATCATCTATTGTTTAAAACCTGAACCACTGAAAAAATTTGATTGAACTTGATGACAGTTACTTCTCGATTTCCAAATCAAAATAAAAAGTAGGTACTGATTATGTATTTCTTGATGATCCTTGGTGTATTTCTATTGCATGGTATTAAAAAATGGCAGCATTAGAACTTGCAAAAGCTAAATGAACAACAGTTCAAAAATTAACAAATCCATTAATTAACCAAATTGATGCTAAATTTAAATCAGGAGAGGAGCTTGTCAAGACGATTTAAGAGATGATTACTACCTCTTAATAGGAAAAAAATAACAAATTGAAAGTTCTTGATGTTGAAATCAAAACTTTCATTGCAATTGCTCAAATGGAAAAAAAGGTTATGGGTGAGTCAGGAATGTAAAGCAAAATGTTTGAAATATTCAAAGAGAATATTATGTTATCTTGAAACGAAAACTAAGGTGAAGATAGCTTCAAGTGATTTGCATAATCAAAGTGAATAATTCTTTAAGTGAAAATTTAAGAAATCATAAATTGCTAAAGTTAGTAATTGGAAAATTTTCCACTTATCTGAAACACTGGCAAAATTTTTTCATTCTGATATGTAAATCACACCCAGTTTGTTCTTCTTAAGAATGCAATACAATGCATTAAACTAGGCACTACTTGATAACTACATATTTATGTATCTAAGCCTCATCAACAACAACATATACATTAATTTCATAGACCTGCGGCAGACCACACAGAGATGAGAAAATTGTGTGTGCTTTCCCCACAAATCACTGAGTTCAAGCTTTTATGATGTGTCACACAACATGGTTTGACATCTCAGATGCAATAATTTGTTCCAGTTGACAGTACAAGAGACATAACTTCACAACCAGTATCAGGAGATTTTACAGTTCTGCACTGTGTCTGTCGTCAAAGCCACGATTTCAGGAAGGCTGACGAACCAATGATCTTTTTTTTTCCTCTGATATCGTTCCAGATATAACGAAGCAGAGGATATAAAATACAGCTGAAAAATTATGGAAGCATCGCTAATTCAGTCTCAAAAACACGCCAGAATGCACTTGAACTCTCTACTAGAAAGACCCTCGTTAGCAGTGTTCTCATGTCACGAGGACTATACTTCACTACCATAATTGTTTTAGGCTATCCATGAAATTATATATATATTTGTAAAGAGCTTCTCGTAATTGTAATATATATGTCTTGAGTTCAAAATGCAATAAGTATTGTACTATGCAACCTCACAAATGTGCCAATCATTATATGGAGTCACAAGCGCTACCTGCAGACTTTTATATGTTAAGAGTAATCACTTGACAACAATTTGCCATGAAATGGATCTGAGTATTAAATGATTGTATGCTGATGCTGTTCAATATATTATACACCTTTAAACAAATATTGTCTCACAGTTAAACTATATAATTACTATCTGGGAAAATGCATGCCTACAGAATGTTCGCAATCAAAAGTTAACGTATTTGGACTAACTTAGTCCACATTTTTCTTCTTGATCACTGATAGGCACCTATTGTTGATCCTGGTAAAAAAATAATAAATAAATAAATAAAGGTACTTACGTATTCACGCAACCAGGCCAAAATTCGCATAAATCACCAAATTTGGCGACCCTACTTACGGCAACCCTGCGTGTTTAGACGAAAGTTTATTTGTAAAAAGAAAAAATAACACTGAGCGTGTACTACCACAGCAACGGGTTTTCAGCGGAATTTGCCAAGAAAAGAAACAGACTTTTTTGGTTACTGTACCTAACAGATGCGCCATTACCCTCATGGAAAAAATTTGCGAAAATATCAAGGAAGGAAGCATTATTTATTCGGATTGCTGGAAAGGATACAATACAAGTGAGTTCGAAAATGCTGGATTTCTGCATGGAACTGTTAATCACAAATATAACTTTGTGGATCCCAAGACGGGCGTTCACACACAACATATAGAGCGCATGTGGGGCTCAGCCAAATGGCGCAACAAAAAACAGAGAGGAACAGCCCGTCATCATCTTGACTCATACCTTATCGAATTAATATGCCGTCAAGCTCAAGCTGTTAATGGCGAAGACGGTTTTCAATCAGTGCTAAAAGCAATAGCCAAAAGATTTCTGCCGAAAAAATAATTCTGCAACTTATTCAAATTCGAAACCGGAAGGGTTTAATTGCTATTTTATATTTTAAAACAAAATAATATAAAAAACTGTATTAAAAATTATCTGTAATTAATAAATGTACATTTTCTTTCCATTCATACTTTTTTACTCAAACTTACAAATCGCGCCAACCTGGTTGCGATAATACGTAAGTACCTAAATAAATTTTTTAAAAAAATTAAGACAAAGTAACTACTTCATTAGACATTTCTAACATCAAAATAGAAAACTAATACAGAGTATGACAATCACCTTGCTATATTTATCATTAGAAAATTTAGTAAAATAATAAAACTTACTTTTTCCAAATTATTAGCATCCTTTTCCAAGTTCCCTTCCTCTAAAAAAATTAAACATTTATATTCACATGACAACACATTATACAATCCCAGAATAATGTCTAAATAAAAATAAATTTTTCAAAAGAAAAATTTTATGAATTTAAAAAGTATATGAGCTAAAGAAGTTAATGCTCCTCAAAATTATGACAAATTGAAAAATTAAATGAAATAACAGATCAGTGTTGTTACATAATTTTACAATTCAAACTCTGTGCAATTTATCATCAGCTTCAGATTAAATGCTAAATTAAAAATTGCCTCTACAAATTAAAATCATCTTTCCTCATCACTAAAAAATTAGGAAATTAAGAACTTCTATTTATTCCTCCATCACTATCCTAGATTTTACACTATCTTTACGACTTTATACTGATTAAGATGAATATTCCTTTGATAGAAGCCTTGAAAGTATGACATTTGCTCAAATAGTCCCCCTTCTACTCTTGAAAACTGAGAAAGGAAAATTACACAGCATATGCTAAGCTTGAGAAAGTGAAAATAATCTGTCCTATCTTCTTTTTCTCTTTTTTTTTTAAAGGAAGGGCTTAATACACAAAAAAGAGTTTGTAAATAAATTTATTAATATTGTATTATGCATTTCAATGAGGACCAAAAACATTACATCTTTTACAAGAAATGCAGGGGTTGAAAACCCCTGCATTAGTGCATGGCTCAATGGTTTTGGGAGTTGTTAAATGACATGCCAATCATTCTTCTGAAGCAACTTATAGAAGCTTTCTTGTTTGAATGCACCTTCCCTGTTCTTTGTTTAACATCAAGATTTGGCTGTTGATACTCACAATTACAATTCTGTCCTTAGGAAACTGCACACAGTAAGTGAAAGCACACACCCAAGGTAGAAGTAATCATTTTACTTATTGTTAATGCTGTAGTATTTTGCTAGACATGTGGTAAAGAAATCCATTTCAACAAAAATTTGGGTACTATTCTGTTATCAGGACCAGATCCAGAAATGTATGTATGGATGGATTTATGTGTTCATGTACTCATGTAAGCAAGAATGCATGTCTGTATATACATATACACATACATGAACATACATACATTCATACATTTCCGAATCTGGTTCCAATAACAGAACAGTACCAAAATTTGTATATAATGTCATTTTAGATGTTTGAGAAGAACAGATTTTGGCCTTGAGTTAAAAAATTGTTTCCAGTGATTCAAAACTGAAATTAAAAGGTTGAATTTAATTAAAAATAAAACAAAATAGCATTATATTTTTATAAGATCTACTTAATAATCTTTTATGAAGAAACTTGATATGTGTTTCAATTTTACTGCATTAATTTTTTTCTTGACATTTATAGTCATTTTTCCACTATGTGCAACAAAAATCTCTGTCGCATGCGATACAACATGTATGATTTACGAAAATTTTACAGCCTTTAATGCATGAAAATTCTGAAGAATTAGAATCTTTAAATTTCTGACAATAAAATTTTAGCCTCTTATTTAGAGGCAACATATTCCTAGATTTAAAAACTTTGAGTTTAATCACAACTCTCAACAAACATGCTGGTCTCACTACAATCTTCATAAATAGAACCAAACAATTTGCAGGGTAAACAAGTTTTTTTGCTGTGGGGTGCTTGATCTTAAAGTGTAATGACTGAATGCTAAAAATCCACATTTGGCTACTCAAAGCCAAAAAGATTTTCAACTTACCACATAATACATGATGTCATAACGATCATTATACATGATGATCATTTTGCCAAACATTAGATGAATAAGTTGATTCTGTTTTGCATATAATTTCTCTTGCCCTCTTTTTGTAAAATTTATAGATGCTTCCAGAGCTTGCAGTTTTCCACAGAAGCTATGAAGAATCTGTAACAGTTAGATTCTATGCTTAACCTAAAAAAACATGTAGAAGAACAATGTAGACATGATACTGGCATTTTATCAACATTCAGTCATCAAGTTCAAAGCTTTCTTGTGCATATTCCATAAGGATCTCCTGCATGGGAACTAGCTTTTTATTGCTTCACTCTTCACAATCAATATATTTTACTTTAAATTATTCATATATGAGAAGCATACTTTCCGGAAAAACAAACTAAAGCACTAAAATCAATTCTATAAATTCATAAGAATTATGAGAAAATTCAAATTCTTACACGTACTACGTGCAATTAACAGCATATCAAAGGTAGCTAGAAAAAGAAATGAAAGCCGGTCTTTCCTCAGAGAGTTGATACAATCCATGTTCTTCTCATTTGTATGAAAATCAGACTATACTCAAGCGGTCCACAGTTTCAGAAGCAATAAAAATTATAATCTTTTTAATACTTTCGAATATTAGGCAAAAATATATTTGAAAGTGTTACTAACTAAAATGTCAGAGAACTAGCCTAGTCCTTGGAATCCAATAACAGCATTTCACTGGTACAATGGTAATGATTAAAGAATTCTTAAAGCGTTATACAAACCCGATTATACACACACAGATTCCTACTACACGTGCAGTGTGAAGCAAGGCTGGCACTTGTGCTCCATCTGGGCATAATAGGCATCACAAGTTTTCACTTAATGCTAAGCTTACACCCTGGATGAATTTTCGGGCAAGAACACTCTGGCGAATGGTCTAAGAGTCTCCTCTCACTCTTCCCCTGCACCAACCTCTCGAACACATTTCAGCTCACCACATATTGGGTTCAAAAGTTTCCCGCCACCACAAATATCATATGCGCAAAATTTTGCATTGGCATGTTTAATCATACTTTGTCAAACAAATTTTGCCATTTTAAAGAAAGAGACCTGCTTCCGAACACTGTGTTGTGAAATCTGTAAAAGAATATTATTATCATTAAGTACAAAGTGGAACTATCACACTACCAGATTAGAACCATCATTTACTTCCAGTTCTGTTGCAAAAGGTCAGCCACAGAAATATCACCAAATCATGTGTACAGCTTTAGATACTAATGTTGTATCATATGACACTGTGAAGGTTTCATACCAAAAGTTCAAAAACAAGGACTATGATTAAGACACAATAACACACCGAATAAATACTAATTCAGAAGTCAAACAACAAAAATCAGCGTTATATTCACAAAATTTTCACAGGACTAGTTTCGATGGTTTTACCGAACCATCATCTTCAGCTGCAAAACCGCAAATGAACAAGATAGGAAATAATGATTAGATAAGATAAGAAAGCCTGGACAAGAATAAGCAAGTGGCGCCATCTGTTGGCGAAACCAGAAAGAGACTTAAAATTCCGCGTCAAAGAACATGAGGCATATGTATGAAAAAAGGAAACACAGAAGTCTTCTGTTGCTCGACATTGTTGGTCCGAAAATCACACTTTCAATTTTTCTGCTGCCAAAATTATTCAAAAAACATCTTCCATTGGAGAACTGGATTTTCTAGAGCATTTCACATTCATAAAAATCTTTCTGTTCTAGTTAACGATCCTAATTCCAATCCAAATTTGTCTTCGGCTTTTAGAGAAATTATGTTTTAGTTCTGGTTTCGCCAACAGATGGCGCCACTTGCTTATTCTTGTCCAGGCTTTCTTATCTTATCTAATCATTATTTCCTATCTTGTTCATTTGCGGTTTTGCAGCTGAAGATGATGGTTCGGTAAAACCATCGAAACTAGTCCTGTGAAAATTTTGTGAATATAACGCTGATTTTTGTTGTTTGACTTCTGAATTAGTATTTATTCGGCGTGTTATTGTGTCTTAATTATAGAAGCCCCAAACAGGCTTACATTTTGCTTTCTTTTTTGCACGTGGTGTGGCCGCCATTTGTGATTGTAGGAGTTTCGGTGAGTACATTTTTGCAACTTTCAAGTTATGTTTATGTTTTGTACATTTGGATATTGTGCTTTGCTTGTCTGACTTCATGCATTTTTCTTACAAACGTTTTGTTTTCTATTCATTTCAGTGAGGGATTTTTCTGCTGTATTGTGTGTACTTTATTATTTAAGTTAATTTAATTATGTTTATGCTATTAGTTTATGCTCAGTTAATTTAGTTTGATTTTCTGCATTGTTTATCATGCCTTCATCCGTTAATCGTTTCACTAAATTACGCCTGAAACGGCAAAAATTCCTGAATCATCTTGACTTTTTACTTAAATGTAAATGTAAAAAATTGATCCCCAATTTTATTCAAATCAAATCTAATCAAAAACCTTCGAGTCGCGTTTCAAGAATTCTGTTAAATTGCAAACTTGCCTTACTTCGGTCCGTGATAAGGGATACACGTCAACAATTGTCCAAAATTGAACATGAACTCTATAAGCTTCATCTGGAACTCGCTAAATCATATCCAAAATTCACTGCCCTTGAACAAAAGTCTTGGTCTAGAACGGAGAATGCAGTTATCCGTCATAAAAATACCCTTGCAGTTAAATTCGAAAAACTTCTTTTACAGTCTTCCAGTTCAAGTTGCTCAAAAAATCTTCCCATTGTAAACATCAAGCCAATAGTTAATATTTCTAATGTTAGTCTTTCAGAAGAACAAGAGAGAATTCTAAAATATAATTTTAACTTCTCACAAACCTGTAAACCCTCGATTCCAAAGATTTTGGCTCCTATCGAAAAAGCTTTCAAGTTCAGTAAAGTTTCAGATTCACAAAAAGAAATGATAAGGCATCTTATCGCTCATAATGTGAAATTCAATAATAAACCTTTGAAACCAAATCTAACTGCGAGAGAAAGAGCTACAATGCGCGAAATTCATTCTAACCCGGATATTATCATTTCAAAGGCCGACAAAGGTGGCCAGATAGTCGTCATGGATAAGAACACTTACATCGATGGTGTCACTAAACTCTTAAACGAAGGACCATATAATCCAATCCCTAAAGATCCTTCACCTTCGGACTTATCCAAAATAAAAACTGCGATCAAATCTTCGCAAATCATTTCAAGCAACTTAAAACATTCGCTTATCCCATCTGTTGCGAATTGTGCCAGATTATATGCTCTTCCCAAAATTCATAAAAGTTGTATTCC